TGTTCTTTGTTGTAAGTACAACAAAATGTTGGAATTGTATCGCATGATAAAAAAAAATCTTTACTTTGTTTGCATCAAAATCATTAACTCTTCAAGGTACTAATTTTAATAATTAATTATTTATTTTCATATTCTGTAAATAAAGATGATTTAATTTAATTATATACTCTGTGTTAGTTATTAAACGTGTCAACATTTTTATTATTATTTATGTTTGACAACATTGCATTAATTATTGCCTTTATGAAACATTGGAGGATGCCTAAAGCCTCAGAAATTTCTTTTTAGTATCCATAAGTTTCTTAATTCCATAAAATATATTTGTTTTATCTATCGATAGACTTATGTTTCACTTGATGATTCATCAATTGATTATTTAACTATCATATAAATAATAATGATTAATTTACTATATATTGGAAAATATTCACTTGGTCAAGTAACTTATTCGAAATATTTCTAAAAAAATACGTAGTGAAATCTTCACACATGATTCTCCTAGTAAGAATTTCAAGTTTTAACAGATATTTAATACATCTTATGTAACAACCAAATTAAAAAAATAATAGATTTTTTCAAAAATTAATTTCCTTTTTTTCGCTAATCTTTAATTGATTTATACTATTATAATTTTTATTTCCATGATGTTATTTTCTTGAAGCATAAGATAATTTATTTATAATATTAGTGTTAATATTTTTCATAAAATTACATGATTTTATTTGTCATTTACTATAAATATATTTATCATTAATTATTTTTTGATATTATAATTTATTATTTAGAAAAAAAAGTCTTGTTAAACGGATACCTAATTCGGAATTTCAATTGTAATAAGGCAATAACAAGAGTAATAATAATAATAGTTGTTTTGGGAAATATTCACGTTAAATTTAATTATTTATTTTAGTTTTCAATGAGCCTGGATGGAACAATTATTTTGGTATAGTTTATAGTTTTTGACAAACGTTTTTGCTAGCGAGGTCAGATATGAAGATATTATTTTTCAATCTTAAAAATTAATTAACTTAATAATTTATAACACTAAATGTTTTTATTATTTTTTGTATATATACTTACATACATACATTTTAAACTAAATTTTATACCTTGCCACAAATTCCCCGAGATGGTAAACAGAAATAAAAAATCTATATTTCGAACATCAATGTACGGTTTTCTTGAAAAGTAACGGAATATTATTTTTAAATTTGGGATATTTTTTTAGAAAATGGAGAAATGCTTTAAATTATTATGTGGGATAGTTTGCAATAAATCTAAATGTGCATTATTGCTTATTTATTTTATTTCTCTTAATGCTGATAGCAGATGAAAAATACAAAAAACAAAATACTAGCTTAGTGAAATAATCACTTATATATTTGTTTGTACCATAGTTTGTGAAATGTTTAAACGCACCTTTAGATATATAGAGAAAAAAAAAATGTGCCTCCTTACGATTCGGTTTCATAGACTTCTAACAGTATCGAAGTCGATTGTAGGAGTATCGAATTGCCTCCTCGTGACAGGATATCGATTTCTGAGATGTATGAATATTGGTTTACAATGGATAAGATCTGTAACGGTGACACTTTAGTGACAGTGATTTAGTTGATATTTGGTTTCATTTCCCCTCGTAGCGATAGTGCTGGGCTAGTAGTATGGGTGTCTATTCAATGCGCCATCATGACATCGACTATATACGTTTATTTATACGCTATTTTATCTGTACTGTGTATCACATCTGCCTGAGTGTATAGAATTAATATATCACCACTCCTTACACGTTGTAGACCGTATAGGATTTATTATTGGATTGATGGTTAATTGTAGTGAATAATTGAAGTGAAGTCGGTTGGGGTGTCAAGACAAAAGAAAAATTAAAAATAAATAAATTATATTTATTTTTATATTTGACGACGTTTCGGCCCATAGTTTAGACCTTCATCGAGGCTACAGACACCTTTTTATCAAATTATTAACATCCAACTAAAACTTGATGAATATATCTTATCGTAATAAACAACTTTTTTTTTTTACGAAAATTCCCGGAAAGGTGTCGTTTTCGATCTGTAAATCGGTAAACTTTATCCATTTTATGAGGAACAAAAAACCCATGAACCATCCATTCAAATCGTAAGATGTTTGATCACTAAAATCTAGAAAAAAAATATGCCTACAAAAATATAGGGCGACCTTCATCTCCATTAACAAGGTAATACAGGCCAAGCGGTCCAATACTTTTATAGACCAACCTTTTCCACGATTTTGTGATAAAATTATCTTGCGATTAGAGTATAAAGCAAATGTTTATTCTTGAGTTTTTATCACCTGATTTAACTAATTATTTTTATTAAATTAGTACCTAATTAAACTAATCATTTAATTATTTTATGAGAAAACGTACCATTTATAGGAATTTTCGTAGATAAAAGAGTTGTAGGTCATTGTACAATCATTCACTAAGTTTTTGACAGATTTTAATTATTCGATAATAAAAAAAGGGGTCTGTACCTTGGAGTACTATTTTATCTTTAAAAAAAAATTTCGTTAATGATAAGTGAAAATAAGACATTCATCGGGCATAAGGAACTGCAACTCAGGTTCAGATAGTCCGACCAATAGACCACATATCCTGCAATGAAGGTAATAACAGTATGTCTCATATGACGTCAGTGCCTGCTTGGGATAGGTTGGATATATCGATACCAGGCAATTGTAGATGATTTACCTTCCTAGTAATCGAACGGTACGCTTCGGTGTACGAGTCTTACCAACCGACTCCTAAGGTATTTTTCTACAAAAAAAAAAATCTTTCCTTCCAAGGCATTAGCCTTCCATTCCAGTGTTGTCCAGTGGAATTGTATCATTTTACGTTATTTTTCTTATGACAGCTCTCTTGTGGAGAGTGGTCCATCTTTATTTACATAAGGAGCAGGGTTTGAAACCGATTATTATTTTTTCCTCAAGATCATGTAATAATAATTACATTTGATTTTTGCCATAAGATATTTGTCAGTCTGTTTGTTTTGAAGAAGCGACTGAAAGAGGTTATTTCTTTTTAAACAAGTCTCTGAAGATGTGTTAATGTTATAGTAAGAAGTGAAAGTTGTGAAGATATTGAAATAGAAATCAAGGCGAAACGAATGGAGATTACGGAAAACCTAAGGCGTGGGAACGGATTATAAAAAGAAGCACAAACGGTAGCTGGAGGAATGGGATGGTGATTTATCGTAGAAAGGATTTACTTTCCTTCTTCTATACTTTATTAAATATACTCTCGTTCACCATATATATGAATGAATGATTTTGTTTTTATTGTGTATTTTATACAATTACTAAAAACTATTAAAGCTAAGTAAAAATATTTAGGACTTCGTTTAATGGAACCGTTAGCCGAAGGTTGATTTTGGGCAAGAAGTATTATAAATCATACACTAATACACTAACATTATAGCTTACAGTATCAGAAGAATTCCACTAGAAATCTAAAGAAAACCTATAGCTATTTAGAATAGTGGATAGATAGTTGACTGTTGTAAATAATTAAAGATACGTTGGTTGAGGTGTTCAGTCAAAAATACAAAGTAAAAATAAATAAATGTTAATTATTTTTATTTTTTTGGCCGATTTATCTTCTGTCAGTCTTCAGTTAATCATATAAAAAAATAGCTTTATATATATATAAATACAAAGGCGGTGTTTAGGAAGGTGTCAACCTTCTAATATTACAGAGATATATTTTGATTTAATATGTAGTTTAAGCTATTTCATTTTATAGGAAAAACAAAGATAACAATAGTTATGAGAAACTACAATAAAAAAATAATAATAATGATATGTAGGTGAAAGGTATAGTCCAATAACATGTAGGTAGAATAAACATAACATTAATAAATAAGTGGAGATGCAGAAATATTAAATATAAATAAAGGAAAATTATCGAAAAGGAAAGTTACCGTTATTTTATATTCACTTCATTTATATTTCATATTTCTGCCTTACCATTTACTTATTAATGTTAAGTTTATTCTACCCACATGTTACACTACAACTTTCACTTACAAATTATTGTTTTCTTTTGACTGTTAATAGTTTCTCGCACCTATTATTACCTTGTCTTTTTCTTAGCCCTGATGAAGGTCTGAACTTTAGAAAGAAACGTCGGCAAAAATAAAAATAATATCATTTATTTATTTTTACTTTGTATTTTTGACTGAGCACGCCAACCAACTTCTCTTCAATTACATCTATTTTAATTTGTTTTTCTTGCCTACATAACTAATTAAAAACATAACCCTATACTATATATATATATATATATATGTGTGTGTCTGTACACACATACAAAGCCAATGTTTAGGAAGGTGTTAACATTCTAATATTACAGAGATATATTTTAATTTAATATGGGGGCTATATTTGGACAAAAAACTCACCTGGAATATTCACACTAAAATAAAAAAAAAAAAGAACTGACCAAACGATACAAACAACTGTCACATCTTTTGGACTACAAATCCACACTCAACTTACTAAACAAGTGACTAATCTACACCACTACTAAGACCTATTTGGACATACGGAGCAGAACTTTGGGATTCCGCAAAACACACACACATAAACAAAATTCAAACCATGCAATCCAAAATACTTCGTAAAATTGTCAATGCTCCTTGGTTTATTTCAAATCACACCATACACACATACATAATTATACCAAAAGTAAAATCCTAAGTATACAAAAAGTACACAACATTTCAATCTTCTACACTTTATCATCCAAATCCACTCCTTCTATTTCTATCTTCCTCCCTGTTACCTAGTGAGCCTCAACGACGACAAAAGAAACATTTTATACGCTTGTGTTTCTCTTGGTTTGGGAAATGTTTTGAAGCGGCTTTAAATTTTCTAAAATGAAATTTTGTGTTTTTTTTTCTAGCCATAATTGTTGGACTTAAATAATTTGATATTATTAATATATATCTTTTTCTTTTTAGCATACGACCTTGCTCAGAACTCGTGCGTCCAGGATGCCTTCGTCATCGCGGTCGAGGCTCAGGCGCGGGAACGCCTGGAGCGCCTGTCCGCCCTCAAGCGGATCAAGCCTGTCGATATGACCAAACTGTCACAACAGGTAACCTCAAATTTATTATGTGTATATATATATATATATATATATATATATATATATATATATATATATATATATAATGTATTTAAGTATCATAATGTTATATCTGATTTAATTAATGGAACATGAACAAATTAAATAAATAATAAAGACCCTAATACTATGGGCGGTATTCTTTGTTGTTCTTCTTACTCCACTTGGACATTTCCTCAAAAAAGAATACTTTTATGAAACTCAATGAAAAAGGACTCCTTTCAGCCAAGTTGATTGCTGATATGTTTTTTCTTCCTCTCTTAAATGTTAGCAGGAAAATGCTTTAAAAAGTAGCGATTGAGCATCCAATAAGGAAAAGAGATAACAGACCTGTTTAAATTTACAGTAGGAGTTATTGTTTTACAAAAGCGTTTCCGCAATAAAATCGGCTAAAATTTAATTTTGTTCGAGTTTCATAAAAGTATTCCTTTTTTGGCGTAAAGTTCAAGTTGTGGTAAGAGGAACGACTATATATACAATCCTAACACTTTATACTCACTTTTTGTAAGAAACTAGAAACTGATATAGGTTAATATATCAGAAATTCACAATGAAATAGCTGCCATAGGATCCATCGTGGTACCAAGAATGAAACCCTCATTTTATCATTTTACGTTACAAACAACACTGTCATCAGAACCTCATCCTAAACTCTTCAACCACCCATCACAAACCTTGAAGAATGTCAAAACTGCTGGATTAAAATAAATTCCAATAAATCCCAACTAATCACATTTAGCCTTCGTCGTAAACCTATGACTTACTGTCCTACAGTATCCTTTAATAACACCCCACTTATCCCTTGTGAACAATCCGATACCTAGGACTCCACCTGGACAAACGTCTCACTTGGAATCCACATACAAAACTGAAACGATAAGAAACTGCTTGACGTTTCCGCTTACTCCAACACTTACTAAAAAACCACTCTAAACTTGCAATTAATTACAAAAGAGTAATATTCATGATTATAATAACACATATTTGGACTTATGGGGTTGAGCTGTTGGTCTCCACTAAACCGTCGAATACCTCTTTTATCCAACCCTTATATTCCAAAATCCTTCGTAAAATCCACAATGCTCCTTACTTTGTCACAAAAGAAATAATCCATAAACACCTTAATGTCCCAAATGTTTCCGATTTCACCCAATTGAGATTCCTATCCTTCCATAATAAACTTCATAACCATCCGAATCCTCTAGTTTATAACCTTCCTCTTCGATTCCTGATAACCCTCCGAGGCATCTGAAAAGAAGATGGCCTCGTGATCTCCTTATATAGACATATTATTACAGTGCTACCGATGGGTAGTTTCTCAACAAGCGTTTTCGTGTGATTTTATTACTGTGTACACATTTACTTGATATATTTATATTGTAATACAGTTGTAAATATCTGGTATAAATAGTTTTAAAAAAGAATGTCAGGAACACTCCCTTATTTTATTTTATTTTTTTTAATATTTAAAAAAAAAGTGATTTACATATGAAAAGAAAGAAAAGAAACAATTAATTAACAATCGTGCTATTAAATATATTTTAGTAAAGTACAATAATATTGTATTATTCATTTTATAAATATAATAATATTTTTAAGTTCTTGTCTCTCTTTTTTTTTTTGTATGTTTGTTTTTGCTATTTTTCGCGAATAAGAGGCCAATCAGATTTTGATTAAAGATTTTTTCCCGTTGTTATGTAGACCACTAAGAAGGTTTTAACATTTACCTGGCTCCTTAAAACAAAATAGCGGAAGATAAAAATCAGCATGTTTGTACACCGTTCATAAAAAAAAAAAAGTTTAGTCCAAACTTCATATTGAAGTTTTCTGGAGCTATAAAAAGGTTTCTTGGAACATTAAACTGTTATCCTCAATCTTAAGTAGAAATGGAATGCCGAGCAATTCAATCAATACGCGGTTGATCGTCAATCATAAACTTTAGAAGCGTTATTAAATCCTTAATAGTGATTAAATTTGTATAAATTATAGGTACTTGTTGCCCAGAGTAGTTTTAAGTCGACTCTTCTCTACAGCACGAGTCTTACTTTCAAGGTCAGGGTATGCAATAATTCTTTTCTTATCACAGGTGGATATATGGTAGGGGGAAGGCTTTCGGGCTGAAGTCCTCCCAAAATGGTAAAATATATCCATGCCTTACAAAAAAAAATTATATCTAAAGCGTATTATTGTTCTTTAATTACATTTAATAGGACATCAAGAATAACTTAAACTCCATTTCTAATAGGTAGTTAGTTTCTTTCTTTTTCTTCCAAAGTAACTATCGTTTTATTTATATAGAAAAGAAAAAAGCTTTTGGGCTGAAGGCGTCCTTCTCCAAAATTAATTCCTGAATCCGCTTGTGTTTCATTACTCCAGAGTAACTAAAATCCAGCATAGTTAATGACCAGGAAGCTCTCTGGGAAAACTACGATTTTAATCCTTTTACTTACAATTTCCCAAGCATAACGTATTTATATATGGCGTGGATGTTGTTGACTATGGTTTTGACACAATACAAATTATAGACTACGTCACAACTCTATTCCTTTGACTAGTCGTTTGATAGCTGTGGATAAACCTGATGAAGACCTGCAAAGTGGATTAAAACATTAGCCACATTAAATACAACAAGCCTTAATTATTTTTGTGTTTTGACACTGCACTCTCGACCATATTTTCTTTCTTTACATTATTTAGGACTTAGAACAAAAAAAAAAAAAATCGTTCATTCATTGTTCAGTGTTATGATTCCTGTAAGGATTTTTTTTAATTTATTTTTTTAAAAGCGGGCACGTCTAAATTTACACTAAAATTCAGAAAGTTGGATTAATTTATTTTAACTTTTTTGACTCAACCCTCAGGGTTCCCATTCCCGCCAAAGTCGATGGTGCATAAATTTCTCCCTCTCCTTATGTATTACATATTTATATATAATTTTATGATGGCGTGGAACATCATGTTGACTATGATTTTAATGTAATACAAATTATAGACTACGTCACAAATCTATTGTATGAAGACCTGCAAAGTGGTTTAAAACATTAGCCACATTAAATACAATAATCCTTAATTATTTGTGTATTTTGACGCAGCACTCTCGATCATATTTAATTTCTTTACATTATTATTTAGGATTTACAAAAAAAAAAAAAAAACATTCATTCATTGCTCCGTGTTATCATTCATGTACGGATTTCTATTTATTTATTTATTTATTTTTTTAATGTGGGTACAGCACATCCTAACTTACACTAAAATTCAGATAGTTCGATTAATTTATTTTCACTTTTTCGATTCCAACCTCAGGGAGGCCCATTCCCACCAAGGTCGATATTGCACATAACTCCCCCTCTCCTTTCCACGAAATTTTATTGCTGTCCTTTTCTTAAAAACAGTGCAAGTGACATAAGTGACATAAACATTATAAGAAATGTAGATTATCCTATTACACTTCCTGTAGTCTCTTCCATGTTTTTCTTTTGTAAGGTTAAAACTTTTTATTCAGAAAATTCAACACCATCAAAATATGCCCCTCACAAAAATTTTAACGACGCAACTTGCGCCACGAAACCATCTTCCGGGCATCCATGTCCACCCTTTTTTGAGATGAATCCATTCCAAGAAGTTGGCCAAACCGTGAGGATGGCCCAAGAGTACCACTCCCTACCAAACTATTAACGCCTGCATTGCAATCATTGGCCCTCCAGTAAAGTAGTAAATAAAGGAAATAAAAAAGGATGCTGGAGTTTATGACCTTTTCTTGCCTGAGGTAGAGGACATTGCGCGCTCCTGACGTCAGTATGAATCACGCATTCCTCGGACACTGTCTCCTCCACCATGCTCTGAAGTCCGCGAGATTCTCTTTGTGTGTTTATCGCACAAAGAACTGTAGACGAATATTAGTTATTTCCTTGGTATGTAAAATAATATGTGGGTGTATATATTTCACATATATACACACTTTCGCACAATATAAATCCATGGTTATATAGCAGATTTATTCAGAAGATTTTAGGGCTGTTTAGGTTTTAGAAAAGCAGGCTTTCTTTTGTTAGGAGTTCCGAATTAATGATTTAAACTAATTTATAGTATAATTTTTTTTTATGTTAATAAAAGATGATTACATTTTTTTTATTTATAGTCGTGAAACACATATTATTTCGCATATGATGTGTCTTAATAAGTATTGAAGGAGATTGGTTCATTATTAAAAAAAAAAACTAACGTATACCTTGATTTTGATTAAGTACGCTGCAGTAAATTAAAATCCGGGACCAATCCTCCACTCATTCACTATATTTCTCTTCCACCATTCTTATTCAGCTCATTCACTAGTTATTGGTCAAGCAACGGCTAAAATGATCGTATTTGAATTTCTTAAAAAAAAAAATGTAATAAATAAATTTTAAATATGCTGAAAGTTTGGTAAGTAGCATTTTTAAAAAAATATATTGATGGTTGAAACTTAGTTTTCATTAAAAGCTAATATTTCAAGCAAGGTTCTATTGTATTCAGAATATTCTTGACCCTTATATTCAAATGAAATTGTGTCATGTAGTGCAAAATTAGACAGGACGCACCGTTCTTTGATGATTTGCGTTGTGCGTTTTATGATTGTATAATTTGGTTATGAAATTTGGTTTCCATTACAAGAAAATATCTCAAGGCTTGGCTTATGATCCTATTTTTTTGCATCGTTGTGAAGCTCCCATTTCATTAATATGTGTTTAATGGTTAGTTATTACTGATACTCCATCATAATGCATCAAAAAAGCCTATCCTCAAACCGATGAAGGAAGCTACTTCATTACAGTTCTTACGTGATGTGTAGTAGAGAATTTTTGTTTTAAAGGACTGTCATCTCTGATCTAGAATCCGCTTTCATGATACTTCTGTTTGAAGGAGTTTACTAAGTTTCGTAGAGTCATGAGTCCTTCACAACCCATAACGACATGAGAGAAGAACTGAGTAGTGGTGAGGTAAAAATCGTGCTATTGCTGGCGTTGTTATCGCCTTACTCTATTTCTAGAGATATCTCTTGTTTGCTTTAGCTAGTGAAAAGTTTTCTATGATATGATGGGGTGTCGCCGAGCGGTTGCTCGGTAACCTGGTAAAAAGAAGATTTCCAGTTCGAATCCTGGTGTTGTGAGAAGGGAAGGACTTTTAACTCTGGCGTTAATCCACCGCTCTCTACCATAGCTCGAAAAAAAAACCGTATAGTCTAAAAGTCTAAGAAGGGAAGGAAAACAAGTCTTCAATGAAACTTTTGAAAACTTTATTGGTCAAAATACTTTGAAAGCATTCAGAAATCGAAGATATTGATAATTAAATTTTGTAATTTCGATTACTTTGAAATTATTGAAAGACAAAAATTTAAATACTAAGCAGAAGTTAATTTACAAATATCTAATTCCCAGTTATTTTTAATTGTCAGATGGTGTGAGTGGTTACATTCAAGGTTAAGTTAGTCCACGTAATAGAAATAGAAGCTCCCGAAAATGGTAAAATATAACCATATTTTATAGAAAAAAATATTAAGAACTAACTCTTAAAGTGTTCTTGTTCGTTTAATTACATTTAATAGGACTTCAAGAACCACTTAAACACCATTTCAATTAATTTCTTACTTTTTTCAAATTAATTATCGTTTTATATATATTTATGAAAAAACAACTTTCGGACTGAAGCCTCCCAACATTAAATCCTGGATCCGCTAGTGGCTCATAATCAATCCCGTTTCTCCTGAACCAGCACCATTTAACCTCATTCAGATGATTGTCATCCAATGTTGTTTGTGAGAGTACCAACGTCAACTGACTTTTGAAATACTAGACACATTGAATCATTTAGGTACTGTGTAGTTTGCTAGTTTCTGCAGCATTGCAACCATACAGATCTGTAAGTTACCCAAATGCGTATATTCAAAGATAAAATCCATGTTCAGCACTGGGTAAGTTGGAACTTTTGGTTATTGTTTACTAAGGTGACCATTATTGTACTATTATAAAGGTAACACACCTCTTAGGAGTTTGTAACAGCTCTCACCATCGAGCTTATGATGTACGAGAAGACTTCAATTATGTATATTAGGCGGTACATTGTACAAAAAAAAAAAAAAAAAAAAGAAAGGCCTTGGAAGCGAGCTCAGATGGACGTTGCATGTAGATGAGGGTACCTACGCATGTATCTGACTGCAGCAAAGGGCCACTCAGGTAATCCAGCATTCAAATGACTCCTTCCCATCGAGTCGACCCACGTTCTGGATGTGTGTGGCTGTGGTTTCCTGTGTACCATGTGGTGTTACTTCTAACGCGGTTGGTCTCATAAATATATTCGGTCACCTGGTCGTATCTAAAACATCATAAACACCTTATATATTTTATGAAAATACATACATCATACATGATTCGGTAGTATGGATTCCTTTTCCGGTTCTTACGGGAGATGGATTTTGATGAATGCCTTTTAAACCCCTAAAATGTAACATTTTTGGGGTAAACCGTAATTATTTCCCATAGCCTTTTAGGTCATAAGGTTGCCATGTGATTCTAATGACGCGTTCAGGTTTTAAAAATTAAAATAATTCTAAAGGAAGGAGATGGTCCGGGATTGCGGTTATAAAAAGGCTAAATAACGGTAAAACTATTTTATTGAAAGCAAAGAACTTAGTTCTAAGTGAAACTCCTAGAGGAACACACCTCCCTGATGAAGACCTGCAAAGTCGGGTCGAAACGTTGGCTTTCAATAAATTAGTTTTACCACTATTTAGCCTTTTTATGACCGCAACCCCGGACCATCTCATTCCTTTATAATGCAACGGTCAACTATTAAATATTCAATAAAATATTTCTATTTAGAATAGTTTTCAAGGAACTCTATTGAAGACGTAATTGGAAAAAAAATAGCTCTATGATCCTTCAAACGCCGGATAATATTGATAGAAACTTTTTGATAAATAAAAATATATTTAGCTATGGCTTATATATTCAATATAATTGACTTCTATAATCTTAGAAAGTGAGAAAACTATAAACCAAGTCTCATCTCCTCTAAACAAATATTTCTTGATCTAGTACTTCAATGGATTAATAAAAGTTTCGGGATAGCTGTGTCATTTTTCTTAATGATTATACTGAAAGGACATTTTGCAATGCGGTAAGCTGTTACATTGTTGTTTTAACAGTTTTTGTCAACTATGAAGCTTCCCTCTTTGTGTATGTTGAAAAAACTATTTTAATAATATTATTTTTTCTATACGAATAAACATGTTTATTTATTGTTATTCATAAGTCGAATGCATTTTTAATGTATTTTAAAAGCGTCAACCACCAAGGTCATTAGCGCCTTATTTCTTCAAGTATTAAATTTCATTTTCCGAAGTTGCAGAAAATGAAAGTTTGTCAACAATATTCGTACTGTCTTGTAAAATAATATGCAGGTCGTTTGGCAAGCCACAGGATATGCTACTTGGTTCGTAAACTCGGCATTCTAGTTCTATAGTTCGTGAAGTTCCACAAGTTTGAGTGTAAGAGAAGAATCGCGGGCCATCAGGTATCCATGGATCAGATGTATAGGACCTGAACGCAGGCGCGTAAGAATCACTTTCTCCCTTCAGCGTTTATTTTTCGAATGCATTAAAGAAAAGAATAGCTATGTAATTTGCCATTTCTCACTGGGGCATATTATTAAGTAAAATTCACAAGTACCTACTAATATGTCTAGAATACCTCTGACACGATTAATATTAATGATAATAATTTATATAAACGATTTTACATATTTTTGTTGTTTTCATGTATTTTCTTCGTTTCATTAGCTATCCATTTTCCTTAAACTGGTAAAAACTGGCATTTCTCAAAATTCATATGTAAAATTAATTATGAGGAGAAGAATAGTTGGGGTGATCAGTCAAATAAGAAGGAAAAAATAAATGATAATATTTATTTAGTCATTTGCCGACGTTTCGACCTGAAGTTAAGGCCATCATCAGGGCTAAGAAAAGAACCAGATAACAAGGTATGAGAAACATAAAAATTACAGTAAAATGCAGTTGCTAGAATAATGACAATAGTAAGAACAAGAGACAAATAATAATAACAGGTACAAAGTGTGGAATGATGAAGTAAACATAGTGAAAAAGGTGACTTAAGTATTGTAAAGGGAATCTTAGAATAAAATCTATTTCTAAAATTCTAATTTTATTCTAAGATTCTCTTTACAATACTTATGTCACCTTTTTGACTATGTTTACTTCATCATTCCACACTTTGTACCTGTTATTATTATTTGTCTCTTGTTCTTACTATTGTCATTATTCTAACAACTGCATTTTACTGTAATTTTTATGTTTCTCATACCTTGTTATCTGGTTTTTTCTTAGCCCTGATGATGGCCTGAACTTGAGGTCGAAACGTCGGCAAATGACAAAATAAATATTATCATTTATTTTTGCCTTCTTATTTGACTTATAACCCCAACTATCCTTCTCCTCATTATTCACGACAGTCAACTATTTAACCAATATTGTAAAATTAATTAAGAAGCAAAATTTATTTCATCAAACATTTATTGAGTAATTTCCTAAAACATATCCTATTTATATATATATATATATATATATATATATATATATTTATTTTTTTTGGTAATCTGATATTTATTCTCAAATGCATGAACTATCCATAAGACCATTAATGCACCCCTATTGTAAGGATTCTTATAAATTTATATTATTCTTTTAAATTTCTAATTTATTTATATTTATTTTTAAGTTGGTTCAGCGAACATTGAATTCTTATTTGTAACCTAACACAATGCAGCACCATGGTTTATCGTTCAAGTGGATTGACCTAAAAGGGCTGTTGCTAGGGTCCGCCCTTCGACCCCAACCGCCCGTGAACAGGAAACGAACCAGGTGGTTAACTGTCATAACAGTGCTACTGCAGCCACTATCCAATTTGTCTACCTCTGTCGCGGCATAATTAATTCAATTAACAGTAGCCATTTACTATGTATTAAAGGAAACCTTTACTTCTTGTTTGATACGAGTTCATTTCATTTATTAAATTTAAGTAAGCAATTTGTCAGGATAAATTTGTTGCCACTCTGATAAGAGAAACAGAACCAACCAGTTTGTATGTAAATGTGAAGAATACAAAATAGATTGTAATAAACTGAAAAAAAAATTACACGATCTGTACAATCGAATATGATAAACTGCCCTTTAACTTTTCTGGGATTAACTTACAAATTTTTCCCCCTTGTATTTACTAACATCTCAATAAATCAATAGAGAAGGGTGCTAATAAAGGCTTTAATATCAAACTGCTGCAACAGTAATTCGCTGAGATATATCACCCAGAATAACAAGTTAAAATATGAATAAAGAAAAACAAGTAGTTATTTAAGAAAAAAATGTCAGTAAATCAATGCAAACGAGGATCGGAGAACTGGTGGATCAATATGACATGCTATGAAGGCTAAGAGGTTCAGATGGGTGGGACTTGCAGCTCGAAGCAATTCCTCGACGAAGCAAATTCCTCAACAGTAGACTAGAGACCGCTTGGAAAAGCAACAAAGATGCTGCTGAACTGCATGCAGATAATTGGAAAGGAATAGCTTAAAGTAGGTATATATGGAGAAGAATGGGTTAACACGTTTTCAGATATCTTCAGGGGATCATTGATACAAAATATTTTACTGACTTAAGGGTTGGTTCTGAAATCTTCTGATAATATCCTGTAACATGAGTGATAGATAGTCAGGATGCAATCAATATTTAAGATATTTATTGCCAACGTTTCAAGCTTGTGGGCCGTCATCAGGGGTCATTTACCAACACTAAGGATGTTCAATAATGTACATTACTCAAACACCTTCAGTAGGTTCATTACTCTGTTAATCATACGATCATAGGTCAAGTTTGACTATAGGAAAAACAACTTTATCTTACAAAATCCCTTACTAAATTTACAAAATTGGTATTCACTTTGAAAAATTAGATTAAATCATAACAAATCACAACACATGAAAGTTACGCTTCGACGAGAAACATGCCCACCAGTTTATATCAGCAACAATCCAATTCCTCAGACGGACACTATAGGCTACCTCCGACTAATATTTGACAGGAGGATGACCTGGGGCTCACACGTCAACATGAAAAGAAAGACTTTGAACAAGCGACTGAAAATACTATACTCACTGTTTTCTAAATTGAAATTGATGATTAAACAAAAACTAAATACATATGCTTACCTGATCAAGCCCATTTGGACATCCGCCCCACAGATTTACGGTTCAGCAAAAAAGACTCACTTACAAAAACTACATACTTTTCAATCTAAAATTGTAAGACTAATAACTGCAGCCCCCTGGTACGTCAACGACAAGACTTCACATACCGACCTAAGACAACCATCCATTGACCAGCACATACGTACTGTCTACTCCCAATTTCACCTTAAACTACACGGACATCACAATGGACTTATCAAAGACGTGGCCACGGCTGAAATGCTCATCAGGAAGCGACTGAAAAGGAACTGGGTGAGAGATCTCCTTTCCTGATTTTAGGATGTAAACAGACCAAGGAAGAGGTACTGCTGGGTTCCATTTTTCGTCATGCTTATCATGCCATTTTCTAGCTAACAACAAATCTGCTAATTGTCACTACCATGACAGGCGGAAGAAGAATTGATGACCAAAAAAAAAAAAAAAAAAAAAAAATGATTGCATAAAGGCGAAATGGTATTAAGAAAGTTAGACATTATGTTGAACATATGTTTAAAGAATATAGCGCTCTAAACTTCTTAAGAACATGTATTAGTTTTCGACATCTGCACTTTTTATGCTGTGCAATTCTGCTATATTCAAGAGGACCTTTTTTTATTAATTTTTATAATAGTTATTAAATGATAATATGTAATAATTATTCCGAAATTGATAACAATAGCCTGGATGTGCCTGTAGAGGACACTATGGAAAGAGATGGATGACTGGAGTGGACAGGTGGCTACTGCCCGTAGCAGACTAATTAACTTAATATAATGCTACTAACTCCGTTGGGTCTGCTCCTTCTCCAGCGGGGGGAGGGGAGGGGAGGGTTCATTATTGTACTATTCCTTTCCTGATAGCATGTTTATATCACCGCTTATCGATCTTCTATGTTACAAATGTATTACGATTCAACCGTATCTACTACGAAGGTGGGCCCCTCATGTATGTTAGCAATAATTGGATATCAATACTTGGATTGGATATCATGCATAACTAGAAACATTTATATCAGGACCGAAGGACAAAGTTACTACTGAGTAATTCTATCCCATACTTGTAATCTCTTATTAGCCCTGGAGCCATGGCCTAAAAAGGTACTCATTACAGGAAAAGTTTTGAATATCTGTCCTTCTTTGAATCTTGTCTGCTATTTCAAAGTCGTTACTTTCCAAAATGTCATCCAATTTATATTAAACCAGAATATTGAGGATCGAAACAGGGATTATTACAACACTCAAGGGGTGTTTCAACTGCCTCCCGCAGTGCTACGCCCTGTTGAATACCTGCAAAGTGGGTCGAAACGTCGGCAAAAATTAGATAATTCTATTTGTTTAATTTAGTATTTATTTGACCGCTCTCCCTCCCCCTCGATCAACTTCTTCTCATATTATATTTATAATTTACAAATGCTCAAGGTTTTACGCCTCTAAGCCCTAAACAACAATTTAATGATACTAAAGATCCTATAATACTAATACTACAGAATATACTGATACTAAAAAAAATACTATTATATAATCATATATTTTGTTTTACCTTCATTCACTTGATCTGTTTCTCTTATCGAAGTCCTAATCAGTCTCTTTATGTCCTCCTGCTTTTTTTGTTGATTGCTTCCAAAGCCAGCTATACCATATGCATTCTATTTTATTATATCTTATCTATTTTATTATCTCCTGTATTTTTCAATTATATATATTTTACTTGTTGTTAATTAGTTTATATATTCTAATAATACCAAGAAAATGGATCAAAAAATAGCTCCTAATAATTGCCACACGCCATTATCAACTTGCGGTTGAAACACGGATTCCGTCATTCATAATCAACATACAATTATATTAATGATAGATCGGTTAAGGTAGCTTAAACCCTCCTAGAGGCAATGACTGTTAAGCGATTTTCATTTGCTGTTTCTATGCCGCATGTAATGACCCCGATCCATTGCGGTTACAATCCAACCATAAAAAAAAACAACTAAAAAAAAAAACAAAACAGCAATAGGCGTCAAACCAGTTTATTATTCATTTCCTTCCGTATTGAATTTATTTACTTATTCATAGCTTTAGAAGTGGAATGCTATCAGTCGGACGGGAAAAGAATTAAAATTTTATGATTTATGTATAATGTATTTCATTTCATGCTTTCTCCGTTTTTTTATTTTTAATTATCCGACTCGTAGGAAATGAGCGTTTTATTATTTGATTTTTTTCCTCATTTAGAGATTATACGATTTTTTCTTGAAGCATTGGAATTACTTTTCCATTTAAAATTTATTTGTTCAAATGTTACTGCTACTTTTGCTGAGTTTACTTAACGTAGAAAACTTATAACATAACTTATCAATAGTGTGTCATGGAAACATTCCCCAAGAGTCCATTTATTTAATTTATCACTTATAAATGAGATTTTAATAAAATGCACAATTTCGTTGTCACTTAAGATGATAAATATACGAAAAATAATTATTTTTAATATTTTCTTAACTTAAATAATAGACGTATTTATGTTTGTTTTTGTCATTGTAATACAATCCATGTAATCGAAAAAAATAAAGCTTTGCATTATTGTATTTTTTTATGAAAACATAGCTACTTTTAGGTGACAGGATATCAAAACACCTTTTCTCACATAACTTGAGGCGAACCATAACTTATTTCACAATAAACATCAATTTACTCAATATAGACTTAAAGAATATGGAACACTACAGTTTTTCTGAAACGGTGTGTCTGTAGTATAGTTGCATGATGATAAAAAAAAAATCACGAATATTTCCTAATTTTTGTAAAAACAGAACTTAGTTTAGCCGTTCAAATGTCATCTTTAAATAGTTTTATTATAGAAAAAATGTACTTAGATTAGAAATAAATTTTTACCAGTTTCCTATGAAGCAATTGTCAATTATTTTAATTAAACATTATTAAAGTTATCACTTCCTATTCAACAAAAAACTAATGTGTGTGTTTTAGACAACACGTTATAAGTGAAAACATCAACTATGCGAGATTAATAATATGAAATATAAATTATAAATAATATTTCATTACAAAGAAGATGAAACGCTTTCCCCTCATTTGTGAAATTTCCTCGCTTATAGTATACAGATCCGATTTTTAGTATCCGAAATATTTTAATCCATATGTTCAGCTAACGTTACCATTTGGTTTTAACACTATTTTTTTCTTTTTTGCCCCCTTAACACGGTTTTGAATTATAGCCTATTACAGAGAGGATGAAATGCCGTACAATTTCCTCGCTTACAGTATGCAGGCCCGAATTATAGTTTCTGAGATATTTTAATCCATATGTAAAAACATTTTAATTAGTCGACTTCAGCCGACTTTGCCCGAGCGTTAACACCAAACGAAATCTGACGGATCAATTTAATTCACTCTCCAAAAAAAAATGCAAAAGTGGCTAAAGAAGTTCAAAAACGTGAAACTTAAAAAAAAAAAAAAATAAACTTAAATTTCCCACTTTTCTTTAGAATATCAGACTATTGTTTATATAAATATTTTTTTAGCTCTTGAGGTTTGCTGCCAGAGGAGAGGACGGCATTCGCAAAATTGAGCTAGAAGTCCTTACTGCTTTCAAAAGAAAATTTAAAGTCTATAAAAATATTTGAAAAAGATTTTTCTTTACTTAAGGAAAAAAAGGATCAAATGGAATATTAAAATATTTAATGTTATAACATCAATAT